GCAGGAATCACCCGGCAATGAAGCAGGACATGTGCTAGAAAAAATCCCCCTATGCCTTGCCCTTTCCCTCTCCGTATTCCGTTTCTTTCTCTACAAGACGAGGATGTTATTTATCTCTCAGCCTACCCAACAGGTAGATTTGGAGGATGCCTACAAATCCTCAGCACCAGAGCAGTGCTGCGGCTGCGGCGGGGTTCGTGTGTTCCTCAGGAGCGCTGCACCCGGGGGGACAGTGCCGAGCGGGGAGTTTCCATCACAGCATTTCACGGGATGAGACATTATCCAGGGCACGTGTGGGAGTTTGCCCCGTGTCAAGAACTCTCCAGACATCGAGATGCCGCAGTGCTGTGGGTGTTTCTTTTTTTCTTGGTACCTTTTCCTTCAGCCTCCCTGGGAGGTGCTGGACACCAGGACAGCCGGGGTCACCACACGTGGCAGCCGAGGCTGCAGTTCCCCAGATCTGGTCCTTTCGGTCACAGATGCCCAGGCAGCACCGGCCGCTGTTTCCCCTGGGAGTTTGATGGTGTCCAAGAAAGTTCACAAGGAACCTAGAAACTGTGCCCCCCAGAAGGGAGGGCTCAGACCAGCAGGATCCGTTCACGTCTGAGCCGTGGAAGGGATGGGAAACAAGGTGCAGCCTCAGCCCAAGTGGCCTCTTATCGAACTGCTTATGTCAACTGGATTTCCAGTCACAGCCTCTGTGCCGGCTCTATGCTGACCTCTATCTTCTCCCGTGCGTAGGAATAGGTCAGGATTTTGGCTTGGGGCCGAGCACCACACTACAGGCGCAACCACCAAGACCCAGCACCCTCCTCCCCGCAGCGGGAACCCCAGCGCAGCCCCCAGTCACCCACCTGCTGCCCCCCCTTCCTCGGGGTGGGGGGTTCGAAGGCTTCCCCGGCACAAGGAGGCCCCTCGGACGGAGCTGCGGTAGCGGTCCTCAGCGTCTGGCTCAGCTGCAGCAGAAAACATCCTTTGTAAAGCATGGCCGGTGCGTGCTGGACCCCGCAGCACCCCTGTTCCCCCTCGCCGTGACGCGGGGCTCCCCCAGACCCGTCAGACTCGCAGCTGCTTTGTCCCCCCCAGGGGGCCGCTCACCCCATCCTCCCCTGTGGCCCCGGGGAGCGGAGCAAGCTACGAACGCTCCCGCCAGCACAGGCGGGGGGATGGATGCCCAAAGACAGGACATGCAATTGCTTTTTCCAGCAGGGTTGGCATCCACCAGCTTATGGTGCACGTGAAACTCCAGCCCTGAGCTAGGCTGGTGCAGAGGGACCCCGCTAACACCTTCCTGCCCTCGGGGGACAAGATGGGAGCGGGGGCCAGCACCGAAACGCTGCCCAAAAGAGCCACGTTGTCTGATGGATTGGTCCGTGTGCAGCTCAGTGCGGCAGCTCGGAGAGGCTCAGACTTAGCGCAGGATGAAGATACCAGAGCATCAGTCTCCATGGTATCCGACAGCCATCAAACACACAAACATCAGAGATCGCCACTGAGTTTGGAAGAAGCCCCGACGAAGGACTAACCCAAATTCAGAGATCTCCGGCCGCTGTGCTTCCACGCACGGACACACAGATCATGCGCCAGAACAACCAGAACTTCACGTGGTCAGAGATTGCCCCTTTCACCCGAGAAGCTGAAAGGAGCCAGGGACCAGCCTGTGAACCAGGGACAACAGTGTGAAACAGCCCGGGCCTGGGAGATTGACTCCCGTGCTTTCCTCCTCTGCCAGCGCCTGGGATACCTGCTTTGTATTCCGGAAATATCGCTGCAAGCTGCGAACGTATCCGCTTCCCTCTGAGGTCTTTTAGAGTTTATAGACTCATTTTAGCGTCTACATTCTTGGGAATATACCACACGTTAGGTAGGCTGGGCAATGATTCTGCACGCACAAAAGCAGTGGTAATTGAGAGTGCAAATTAGGTGAGCAAATACCCAACGGGTTTCCATGTTGAGCAGTATTTGCGCCAGGACTTCGAGCTGTTTCTCCCTGCGAGGGGAAAGGCTGTGCTAAAATAACTGTTCCTCCAAAAGTCTCCCTTCAGCCAACACCTTTTTACCTACACCGAGTCTAAAATAAACACACGCAACGCAAATAGCTTAGAAAGGAAGAATCTGAAAGCGATTACAAAGCCCAAAGCCAAAGATTAAGCCATTTCACTCCAAATTTGCCCTCACTTTTCTGCTGTCTGACTGCAGAGCCCACAATCCTCAGCAAACCACAGCTGGTTTTTGTGTGGCCGCATCCCCAGGTGACGGCGAGGGGAGAGGGGGAGCGGGGAGGAGGACAATCGCCGACCGCCTTCCGAGTCTTTTGGGGAGAGCAGCGCTCCCGGGCGGGCGCAGCGCTGCCGGAGGAGCCGTGCTCCCCACCTCCTCTAACCGCGGGTACCTGCGCACCCCTGACTGCTGGAGACACCCCGAGGGACACTGCTGTCACCCCTTATTTTGCCTCTCCGATCTGAACGCTGCCCCTAAACCAGCTATTTCCTTTCAGGACCTTCTAACCTCTAACAACCCAAGGATCTTCCAAAAGCCTTTGCTCCCAGGGACAACCTCCCAGGTGCTGCCTCTCCTCTCAACGCAGAGTTCCCTTCCAAAACTACGTGGCTCCGTCGTGCAGAAAAGGTAACTCCTGCCTGACCCTTACAGATCAACCTCATCGCTAACAGGAGCTGGAAACTCCTCCACGCTGCTCTGCAGCCCGTGTGGGGAGCCGGGCGGGGCAGCGCCCCAGCCGCTGCCCCCGGGGAGAGCTGGCTGCTCCCTCGCCGCCCCAGCTTGCTCCCAGCACGGTGGACCGAGGTTCCCAGGGACCTGGTGGGACCCGGTGTGTCCGTGACGGAGCGCAGGGGCTTTCCTCTCACCTGCCAAGGACTTGTAACCAAGAAACCTGGCAATCTTTTGCTGGCAGTGCTCCTGCTCTTCATACGTCAGCAGCTGGTAGATAAACTGCCAAATGACTTGCTTGGCCGGTGTGTCCAGCACCGGGTACACATCCACAATGAGAGTGTCAATATTCCTGCAAAATGGGAAAGAGAGGGCTGGGCAGCGAGCGCATCCCCACGGCACAGCCCCACCGCGCCGCTTCCCTGGGCTCCCAGCCTGCCTGCCCCTGGGTCTCCGCTGCCAGGCTTGTCCCTGAGCTTTTGGCACAAATGGATCGTTTCGGAGGAGCGGTGCTGGGCTGCGAGCAGGGGACCGAGCCCTTTGGGAAGTGGAGTTGGGCAGCTGGTGCTAACGGGGAGAGCAAACTCCCAGGGACCAGCAGCACCTGCCCACCAGGTATAAAACCCTGTTTGTGAGTCAGGCAGGGTGTGTGGGGAGTAAGAGGGGTGGAGGAAAACCTTGGAAAGACCTGAATTTTAGCCAGCAGCAGGTAAGCAGGGTCAGGGAGAAAGGCATTGGAGAGGGTGGGGGGGCTGGCAGCTTCGCTGGGCTGAGGGCTTGTGTTGGCTCTGCAGCGTGTGGAGGTGGTGAGGGGGCTGTTGAGAACAGTAGGGCTGAGCACCCGGTTCAGCGAGGAGGATAAAGCAGCCTGGGGAAGGAGGGCTGTCCTGGGTCAGAGAGCTAAAGTCAGGCTGCTCTTCTGCTGAGAAACTGAGGCAGAGATGATGGGTTAAAGCCCCCTGTGACTGTTGCATCCTTCATGTGGCAGTAACAGCAAGAACCTCTCTTAAAGAGCTGGAAGGAGGTTGCACACGTACGAACAACTCTGTTGTCTTGATGTTCATCCAATAGAGCAATTGATACCCAAGGAGCAGGGACGAGGCACGCAGGGGAGAGCTGAAGGGTGAAGAGGCTCAGGGGCTGCAAGGAATTAATTAATGAAGTGACCTGGGGGGGTGGTCCTCAGAGGCCAGTAGGGATGAGAAGCAGTAGGAGCCACTAGTGCTTCCCAGAAGTCACCTGCTAAGTTTCTCCCTAGTTTTGGGCTAATTCGCCTTTTCTGTAGAGCTGGATGCAGCCCTTGGCTGTCAGAAGCCTATTTCCCATTCAGAAAAGTCAAAGTATTGCGGATGAGCTGCTCTGCCCTGCGAAGGCACTGCTCCTCCCAGAGCAGGGCTGTCCTGACTCCATCGCCCGTGTTTGCTGCTGGGAAATGCTGGTTTCTGCGTGCTGTGCTGGGGAGCAACGTAAACTTAGTGTTTGGGGAATTCCCCCCCGTTGTGGGAGCAGTTAAGAGGCCCCAGCTGCTCATCTGGGACAGGCTTGCAATTAGGTCATGGTGAATTGCTGTTAAATGGAGGGGTGGCCTCTGCGCCGAGCCAGCCGGGGGCAAAATGAGATGGCTGGAGGAGAGGATGGGCCTGCTGGTGACCCTGCTCTGGGGTGGGCAGCAGTGGCAGACCCCCATAAAACGCTGCTGCAAAACCAAGCAACGTGTGCTGCCCTGCACTGGGAGGGGAATCTGGGGACTTAATTCACGATACTCGGTTTCCCACCCTTGTGCCTCTGAGCAAGAGCAAATACCCCCCTAGGACTGAGTCCCGTTTCCCAGCTGCAGACCCTGGGGGCTGGATCTGCTCCCACAGCTGCCGCTCCTGGGGCTGGAATGCCCATCTGGGGAGCCCCGTAGGAGCAGTGCAGTCTCGGGAGAGCGCAAAGCAAGGATTTCTGCTTTGCCAGGGCAGCGTTAGCGACCGCTGGTTCACTCAGCTGGTGCTGGGGGGGGTTTGCAGCT